GCATGAACAAATAGGGTCTGTCGGGAAACGGGGGGAAAGGCAGCTATATTTTTATTTGGCCTTGCAGACCTGTTTTTCGCTACAGGTTCGTACACTGGATGTAGTGGTAAGACAACCAATGAGTATTTATAACAAGTTGACAACGAAAGTTATAACAATTGTTGAGCTATGACAGTTGCACTAATTATAGCTCAACCACCACGTACAGTACATAAACAGAAGTTGATGCGATATCCAACAGCACTACCAGCATCAAAGTAACCACGTGTGACTATTGCTGCGTAATTCTTTACTGATCGTAAACTGATACAGTTTATAGAAACAACATTTGCATTTAACTTAATTACAACAAATATTTCCAGGGTCATTCCATTAATACAACACTTAAATATCTACTAAATAATTTGCTCGTAATATGTTTGCTTAATGGACAAAGTTTAGGGCTTAATAAACTCCCTATATATTCATAACTAACCACTCTGCATGGACGCAAAAGCCAGAAGCCCCTGATGATCCCATAATACAATAATGTGCATATACCAGTAACCATACTGGGCACATAGCCCAAGTTTTCTCTGGCCCTGACTCCAGACATCTATCTGTCAAAATGTCTAAGTCTGGTGTCGGGGCCAGAGGGAACTCGGGCTAATTGGGCACAGTACTGTTATCAGCCTTCAGTATCTCTGTTGGACTGTTACCACAGCGCATTCCCCTGCAGGAAAAGTGAGTCGGCTGGCCGACTCTATCAAGACACTGATCACCCAATTGAGTTATTGATTGATTGGTTTTACGGCTGCTTCACTTTTCCAGCGAGAATATGCTGTTTTATACACCCTCAGCTCATCCCACCAAATACTCTTAGGTTGACCATTTTAGAGCTGACATTGATGGCAGTGCAGTGCTATGTGGACATTTGAAAGAAGAACTTTGCTGCGATATGTAAATTTAATAATTACTAATATTGCGGTCGATAAAGAAGGGATTTTCTTCTGAAATTCACATCTTTTTTTTCTTATTGTGAACTTTTATGCAAACGTTTTAGACATTTGCAGAAATTATCAAATCAAGGACAACATTTTTTTTTTTTTAATTAAGTGATAGTTTTCCTGTTTCTATTGTTATATTTATTGGACAAATTAAAGCATTCATAAGTTGTTATACTTTTGTCTACTCACTGATAATGTATTTTGATAAGATGAATGTTTCAATGAATCGTGAATCAGCACTTGTGAAAAATATCAAAATATCAGCCACACTCGTTAAATATATTTGTTATAACTGAAGAAACCATTAGATTTTCTATTTATTAAATTTCAAAAACATAAAACATGAAAAATAAAATGCATTTAAAAAGGGTGGGAATTAGTGAAGCGTAATAATTAGAGCCATATTCTAATGACGTCACGCTTGACAACAAGGCTACACGCCATTTTGAATGGGATACTCAACGCAATTCCGATGTTTTCTGCTATTTTCTGGTATGATTGCTTATAAAAATGTTATTAATTGTATATTTATGCAAATACTTAAGTGTGTGTTCCAAACATTTACCATAACAACCACTTATTCTACCATCGCTTCTTTTGAATCTGAACAAAAAATTGTTGTCTTTGAATGCAGCGAATAGAAGATACCGTTATGATTGGTCAATACCAAAAAGTGATATTTTCACAGTGTGAAAAATATCAGTTTTATCAAGTTGATGGAATCCAATATTTCACTGGCAAAAATGTAATAAATGGCTGACACTTTGATGTATTTTCTATTCTTTATCATCATGAAATTATATAAATACAGTGATAACACACAAAAAAGCAGTTTGTTCTCCAGAAGATAATACCCCGGTAGCTCAATTTAATATAATTTCTCTTTTTTTTTAACAGAAATGATTCATAAAATGGCAGAGTGAGTAGTTTTTTTTTAGTTTTTAGATGTTTTTACAAGGTGTTCATTATTTTTTTAATATCTTTGTTAATAAAAAATAGTGTATTTAGACATATGATTAAAACAATTAGCTTATTTTGTTTTTAAATGTTACTGTCGGTGTTCCCAAACAGGACAATTTTTAGTTACATATCAATATATTTTATACCACATAGTATGTTTGTTCCTTTTCATGAATAGTCACTTTCCATTTTTCTTTTGTATTACAAGTTGACATTTCCAACACATGGTTCTATAAACTGAACGCGAAATACGGTCAAGAGTCAAATAGATTCACGTAGGTCATTGAAAAGGTATAATGCTGTACCCAAAAAGGGACACTTTGGTAATATGGCAAATATTGGGGACAAAAACGATCAAAAAAGGCGGATGATTATTTAAAGTTAAAAGTTGTAACTTTAAATTGTCTATGTAACTATTATCAGCAGCCAATAATGATAACATATTGATTAAATGATATAAAAGTATCATTTAGTGAAAATTGTATACCGGTACATACAAATACAGGTGTCCTGTTTTGGGTACTGTCCCGTTTTGGGTTCACCGACATTAAATGTATGTATAAAAATTATGTTTGAAATTCACAATTTTATTCCCGTCTAAGACAGTGAGTGATAATTCTATTTGATAAACTTCTGTTTCAACAGGGCACAATCACCGCCTAAAACAGATGAAGAAAAGCAATGTTTGGAACACATAGCTGAATCAAATTGTGCTGACATTTTGAGGCAAGTGATCTACTGTAAAGTTGGCAGACCACAGTGTTCGTTGTTTTGTCGGGAAGTATCTGAGAGATGTAAAACATTCACACCGAATCAGCGAGTGCTACTGTCTTCTGGAAACATTTGTAATTTCGACGTGGCATTGTGTATAAAAGTGGTCAGGCAGATCAATGGGATAAACCCCAATGAAGAAAGATGGAAGTCCAAAGTTGCTGACAACAATCATACCCTGTTTGGTTCTCTGCAGAGAATTGCGCTGTTCCGTAAAGAAGTAATTCACTGTCCCGAAGAAGGAGAGTTCAGCTTTCATGAACTTTTTCGTCTTATATCAACTGCTTTTCAAGATATCCAAAGAGAGATGAAATTTGAACGTGACTTTCATGCAGATCTAGATGTCACATGCAATGAACTACTTACACCAGGTTAGAATAGTAAATTTTGGTCGTTGGAACATTATTAATTCCTTTATACTACTTGAAATACACATGCACGCATACTCACACTCTCCTACCTGCTCACCTACATACACAGACACGTGTATGCACACCTCGAGGCATATATCCATCCACAAACACATACACACAAGTTGACACATCCCATTACACAAACTCATTCCTTCTGTAGAAAACACTATCAGTTAATACAATAATGTCCTAATTTAAGATGAATATTTTTTTATTTTAAGTTCATTGAAATAGTGTGTCAGGTGAATTATTCAACATTGAACAATAAATACAATATTGACTCTCATCTTCAAGGGTTCTACATTAATTGCAAATTCAAAATTGCTGATCACCAGCTGAAGGTGTGTATAGCACTGTAATTAGATCTCTGTAACCTTAACCTCAAAGATCAAATAAGTGAAATTTCTCACAGATTTCTGATTAAAGTATAACTACATCAGCCAAATATTTTACGCGGTTATTGGTAGTAATGTGTAATAAGGTCTTGATGACATTCACCTCTAGGTCGAAGGTCAGGTAAGTACCAACTTTTGAATGAAGTCTTGTCTTTACTGTAAACTTTGAAACCGTTGAAGATAGGCACGATAAAGTTAAAAATATGGATATTGGCTTATACCTTATCAGACATACAATTTTTAGCTCACCTGGTCCAAAGGACCAAGGTGAGCTTATGTCAAACTGTGGCATCCGTCATCCGTATATCAACACTTTTTTCAAACGACTTCTTCTTCTTAACCACTTATTGGAATTTAGAACTAAATTTGACTGGAAGTATCCCTAGGTGGTGGGGATTCAAAATTGTACAAATGGTTGGGCTGACCCACCAGGGGGCTGATGGGTAGGGCCGAAAGGGGGCATCTTGGCTATATTGCTATAAACGACTTCTTCTGTAGAACTGTGCGATGGATATCAATCTTATTTGGTCGAAGCATTCATGGGAGGCAGGGATTCAAAATGGTACAACTGGTGGGGCTGACCCCCTGGGCTAAGTTGTGGGGCCAAAAATTAGTTGAGATCCCCACCGTAAGAAAAATGCACATTTGCTTGAAGGATGGCTCTGTGCTCTGGCCCCTCCTTTAGAGAAATGGTCCCTAGGTCATAACCTTGGATCAGTTGAGATCCCCACTCCAAAACTATGTATACAAATGCTGGGCATAAAGAGACGAATGCAGTCATGATATCAGAATAGACCATGTAGTCTGACCGAACCCCTCGAGACCTAGTTTCTGAGTCAAAGCTTGGAAACAGTTGAGATCCCCACCATATAACCATATATACAATTGCTGATTATAAAGAGATGAATGCGCATACGCTTCCAGGATGGCCTCAGGGTCTGCCCAACCCTTGGAGACTTAACCCCTGGGTCATAACTTTGAAACGGTTAAGATCCCCACCCCAAAACTATAAATACAAATGCTTGGCATAAAGAGACGAATGCAGTCATGATATTAGAATTGATCCTGGGGTCTGGCCACAACACTAAGGACCCAGTTTCTGAGTCAAAGCTTGGAAACAGTTGAGATCCCCACCCCTAACCATACATAAAATTGCTGGGCATGACAAATCTAATACAGATATGCTACAATGATTGGCCTTTGGGTCCGGCCTATTCCCTTGGATCTCATTTGGAGAATATTTTGGCCCTCTGGGCCTCTTGTTGTTTTTAAAATCAAGTTTTGAAGATGAGTTGATATTTGTAAATAATTTATGTTAGTTATAATATGATTGCGAATAAAAAAATAACATCGAAGACATATTCTGTCATTTTGTGGTATTCAACAGGGAGAAATTGAATATTCAATTTGTCATGTGAAACAACGACAATGGTTTTGAATGTTTAGGCGTCTTAATAATTGTTGTCGGAGTCTGAATGATGACACAAAGAAATGATTGTTGTTCAAATGTGTTGTATTCAAGAATTCCACAGATTGTTCAGTACAATGTAACATAGATTTTATACAGATAGAACATATAAATTTCCCGAGGAGTACAATGGTAGTCTGAGTGTAATCTCTCGAGTCGGAAACCTGACTCATCTGATTTGATTTCTTTCAATTCATACTTCAATTAAAACTTAAGCTAAGTTTCCACAATGCTAGGTGTAGCAAGTGTCATTCATTATTTAATATCACATAAAACTGTACCTATGTAGAAGATGTCAGATAGCCGAAAGCTTATATATTTACATCAATGATATATATTGTTTTTTTCAAAGCTACACTTGTGCAGGTATTGATGTTACCTGAGCTAAAGGTCAACAGGAATACTATTTTCATTATAAGGTAATTACCTTGTATACATCGCCATTTGGGTTCCTTCTTCATTGGTCGTATCGGTGCTTCCGCAGCGGCCTCTGAAGGTTCGCTGGCTGAGGTGATCAGTCTTAATCTGAAACTGGTCAGCTTCGTCGCCATGCTTGCGGGTGGTCTGCTTCAGTGAATACAGATTACACTGTCCATAACCTGCAATTTTAAAATTCATTGCCACTGCTACACACATCACTAACTTGCCAATTTCCACTCTCTGTCTAAAACCCCTCCAAATCCACATGGACGATGTTTCTGCTTTCCCGCCTGCTTTTTCACATACCTGTCTTCTCTCCTGACCCTTTACACCAAGAGTACTCATTGCTCTTCACAACGAGTGCCCCGAAAACCCTCTGCAGCCAACTTCCCTAGACATACACCATGTTCACCTGCCCTTCTTGTGGCAGGTTCTGACCCGATCTTCATATTTGGCCATCTTCCTTTCATGCGCTCCCTCAATTCTTTCCTCCTATGTCACAGTCAGCTCCAGGATCACAACCTGCTTTGTTGTCCGTGTTCAGATGACAACATCAGGTCGCTGAGTTGTCACAGCAATCTCTGCCGGAAACGACGATCTCCCTTTCAGGTCTACCGTCATATGCCAGTCTACTGCTGAACCAAAGACCCCTCTAGCCTGATCTACACGTTTTCCTTGCTGTTCTGTCTTGATGAAACTCAGTATTTTTAAACTGGATGTTGTTGTTTTCTTTCTTTTCCTTTCTCTTTCCAGGGAATCTGCAATGTTTGCTTGGACATTGTCATGCCTGCATGTGTATTGACCATCTCCCAAAGCCAGTTGACAAGATGAAAGCACATGTTCGAGATTACTGATTCTTCCACAAAGCTTGCATGTTGGGTCATCATGAAGTCCCCATGTCCGCAGGTTTGTTGGGCTGGGTAAGACATCATACACCGCACTCAACAGAAACTTTATCCTCACTGTTTCAATGAACCAGGTGTCACTCCATTTCAAGGTCTGCTTTTTAGCTCCCTCTCATTTCATCCAGCTACATGTACCTGGTTTTCTCATTGCAACTGGTCTTGATTGTCTTTCTTCCTCCTCCATTGATCGATCTTACCTCCCTCTAAACCATCTCTCTTCTCTGTTTCCCTTTTGTACTAAGTCCTTGTCTGCCAGACGCTGCAGTTCCGATGATATCACTATGTTGGAGCCTTGATTCTGCCTGTTCAATTGCTTTCCATGTCTTCCACTTTTTTCCTATTTCTTAATTTCATCTTCGCCTTCCCCACTTTTTTCCTATTTCTTAATTTCATCTTCGCCTTCCTGACCTTCTCGTCTACGCAATTTATCAGTATCATTTGCTGTCTATACTTTTTCACCTGGAGTTACCAGATTTGGTGTACAAGGACATCTTTGAATGCCAGAGTGCAGAGTGTAAGTAGAAAGGTCACCATGACCTCACTGTGACCAATGCTTTGACCTTTGACATTAACTTTTGAAAAAAGTTGGTGTACAAGGACATCATGAGATGGCAGAGTGCAAGAATAAGGTCACTGTGACCTATGACTTGACCTTAGACCATTACTTTTGAAAATGTTTGTCTTGGGTATGTCCTCTATACTATTATACCTGAAGTAATTAGATTTGGTGTACAATGACATCTTGGGATGACAGAGTGCAGAGAGAAAGAATTAGGTCACTGTGACCTATGCTTTGACTTTTGACCTTGCCGGGTAACTTTGCAAAAGTTTGTCCGAAGCATATCTGTTTTGATGTACAAGGACATCTTAGGATGTTGGAATGCAGAATGTAAGTGCAGAGTGCAAACATTAGGTCACTCTGACCTTATAACTTGACCTTTGGACTAAAATTTTGAAAAAAAGTTTGTCACTGGCAGTTACCAGACATCTTGGAATGTCAGAGTGCAGTATGCACGAATATGGTCACTATGACATCACTGTTCCTTATGCTTTGACCTTTGACCTTTACTTTTGAAAAAGTTTGTCCAGTGCATATCTTTATACTATTACACCTTCAGGAACAATATTTGGTGTACTAGGACATCTTGGAATGGCGGAATGCAGAGTGCAATAATTAGGTCACTGTGATGTATGACTTGACCTTTGACCTATTCTTTTGTTTGACATAAGTGTACTATTTGTTAAATATAGAAATCATAACCGATGGGGGACTATAGATTGCATTGCAATACGTTGCCTTGTTACTTTTTCCGTACAGCCCTATACTGCTGAAGCTACGAGGAACTCTAAGCCATTTGCGAAGATGGTTGTTGATCATGCCCTCTATTTCTTCCACTGCTGTAAGAGGGACCTCGTATATAAGCAGAGGTCGCAGTAGCCTTGGGAGCACCCCATGCTGATACATCTGATTATCAGTCACCGTTTGCATCTTTTCTTCTTGGATCTTAAACTTCAACTCTGTGTCTTGCCCTTTTTCAGCACTATACTCATTGACTTCGCTGGTTTGAACTTCATTCGTGTCCAATGGACCATCTTCTCCAGATATATATCAGTAGCCATCTTCCTTCGGTGACCGTTTTCGTTGTTAAAGTCATGTCATCCATAAAAGCCCTCGTTGGTGGTTGCCTTATCCCTGTTGACAAGTAAGGCCCTGTGCTCATCTTCTCTACTGATTTGACAATGAGGTTCATTGCTGCTGCAATGAGAGTGACTAAGATAGTTCAGCCTGTCACTATTCCAACGTTAAGTCTCTGCCATTTCGTCTTTCGCCAATCTACTGTGAATCTTAGTCAGAGCTTCTCAAAATATTCGTTAAACATCTCTCTGAAATTCCCTGGATTATGGTTTCTTTCCAGTGTTAAGTCCACCAGTTTGTGTGACACTGATCCATAATCATTTGCCAGGTCAAGCCAAACCATAGCTAGTTCTCCTTTGTTCTCCCTGGCATCTCTTATGTTCTCTGATATCCCACGGGTATGTTCCAGACAGCCCCATATCCTTTTTGAGCTGCAATATTGATTTATTATTGTACTTATTGCCGAGTAGATAGTTGGCCATTCTTCTTGCAAGGATCGCTAGAAATATCTTGCCCTCAACATTGAGAAGTGAAATTGTCCGAAACTGTGATATGTCATATGATATGTGACATGAAGGAAACAAACCAATAAACACGATTGCTACGAATCAGATTTGACCAGAAAATACTATTGTATGTTGTTCGTTATAATTGGTAATCAATGACAATTTCATTTAACTAATTTGGCATTTAAAATATAACGAAACAGTTAAAATGAAATATATTAGGCCTGTTTAATTGGTCTCATAACGTGACAATTGCGGTGTTTGACTGTAGCGATGTTATCATTTCTGATTTATTCCAATAGAACCTTTCATTTGGGGGGCGGCTTCATGGGGGAACATAACGGAAAATGTTTAAAATCCCTTTTCTGTACGAATTGAGGGATTTTAAGGAAGTTTTATCAGAAGTATCCAAAGACAAAGCGAAATCAACCTCGATAAACGGAGGATGGAGCCCTGTGAGGTTAAGGGACGGGGCCAATTAAGAGGTATTAGGAATAAAATGATAATCTCATACAGCTATCGCCAAGTAAAACATCACAAAGGTACTAACCCCAGAGTACGGCTGGTCAGGCGGCGCAGCAGATAGCTCATCAGACTTGAATAGGTATGGAGTCGCATGCCTTACTACAGGGATTTTCCCCGGGTAATCTGTTTTCCTCGCCTTGCGTGCTATCATCAGTGTGATCAATATGAAGATGATAAATCTCATTTCATATTTATTGTGGAAAATACAAAGTTTATATTTCTTTTTGGAGCACGTGACCAAGTTGTGTCATTTGCTTCAGAAGATAGTCAGAATGCAAGCTTCATTTGGGAGTCAGCCAGTCACAAATACTTCTGTTGAAATCTTTACATGATTTTACATGACCTGTTATTATGAATTCCGCTGTTCTTTTTTAACTTTTACAGTGTATAAACGGTTGTCGTCACAAGTGGAACCAGATGCTATCAAAGAAGAAGACGAACACAGAGGCAAGAACGATATTGGTAACTTAAAAAGATGCATATTTTCTAGCTGTTTATAGCGTGAAAATATTAGATAATATTTTGTTTAGTTATTAGCTCACCTGCCCGAATGTTAAGTGAGCTTATTCCATGGCGCAGGATCCGTCGTCCGTCTGTTTGGCGTCAAATATTTTCTTTGAACAACTTCTTATCGTCAACCAAAAGGCATAGGGTGATGATATTTGGCCAGATGCAAACTGGGATGAAGAGCAACCAAGATTATTCAAATAAATGACATACACTCATAGACAAGGTCACAGGGGTCATGCAATTGTCTTAACAAATCTTTAAACAACTTCTTTTGAATAACCAAAATGCCAAGGATGTCGATATTTGGCCAGTAGCATGCTGTGATGAAGAGCTACCAAGTTTGTTCAAATGAATGACCTTCACCCATTTTCAAGGTCACAGGGGTCAAATATGGTTAAAACCTTTAAACAACTTCTCCTCAATAACCAAGAGGCCTAAGATGATACTATTTGACCAGTAGCATGCCGTAATAGGGGGGCTACCAAATTTGGTCAAATGAATGACCTTGACTTATATACAACGTCACAGGGCTCAAATATGTTTAAAACCTTTAAACAACTTCTCCTGAATATCCAAGAGACATAGGCTAATGATATTTGGCAAGTAACATGCTGGGATAAAGGGCTACCAAGTTTGTTCAAACAAATGCAAATGACCTTCATCTATTTTCAAGGGCACAGGGGTCAAATATGGAATGAAGTGTTAGAGGGGCGATAACTCTGTTATCGTTCCTCTGAACGAAATGTTAACACGGCTAAATGTAGCTAATTTGCCGCATATAACAGCGATTTGAGTACAAAAAAACGGCTCCATAACTTTTGCTGAAACTTTCCAAGTTTGTAGAACTCAGCGCGATCTACCTCCTTGTGTATCTGTTATATCTGGGAAAAATCTAGTTATTGAGATATTTGGTGTAAAACACGCCAAAATCGGCATTTTGACCATTAGTAGCTGTATAATTCACCCTGGAGAATTAACACTTAAAGCTGACGAACTGAAACTCCAAACATAAGTAGTCCAAGTTATTCTGAAGAAAACGATATATTTGGTTTTTCGATATCTTTCAAAGAACGGCCCTGAGAGGGTTTTGAAAATGGGGTGTATTTCTGGGGTTTCGTGGAATTTTCCAGAAGATCCGATTTCCCCGTAGTCCAGCGCCAATTTGGGTACCCCCTCTAGGCTAGAATTGAGATAAGAGCTTGTTGCGCATGCGTTAAATACGAAGAAATGTTCTAGCCGCTTATCCGGTTCAACTTGTAGCGGCGAGTTGGATGGAATTTTGACTAGTGCCAGTAATTTCTACCATTTTACGATATTCTACGTTATGGCTATAATCACAATCATGCATGTAAGATATGACCAAGCGTTTAAAATCTCTAGCAAAATCCCGTAGGCCTATACATATCTGTTGACGTTGCGGAACAGTTCGTGTTTCTTCAATATTTACTTTCGTTATTTTTTGTTTCTACGTTTAATTAAATTAAGATTTCGGTGTGTGAAGCCTGTTCAGTGTTTCTGGTAATCGCTCATTTGTGATAATTTGTTTACATCTAAAAATAGCCACGGTAATCCCCAGCTTGAGGAGACAACACTACACGCACGACTAGCATATTACCTGAGCATTTATTACAATGATTGTAGGGTCAATTACAACGATGACTGTAATGAGTCATTATCAGAAATTGTCACCTATTTTGGAAAAGGAAAACTCGAAATAAAGTCCTGTGCTGTTACTGCATTTTTTTTTCATTTACAGTATAAACACATCAAATGAATTTTAATAAACATTTAAAGCGTTATTTCCTAAAAATTGTTGTTTTGTTAGCCTAGGTATAACTAAAAAATACCACACATATTTACAAAAGTTCCATCCTGTTACCAATACCATTAAAGATTTTAACAAGAAAAATAAAAAATAAATCGATTAACTTATTTTTGTGATAAAATATCAATTCTAATTAATTTCACATATTATTGTTTCAAAAGCACTGGTCAAACGGCACTGTACCGACTCCGCAAATAGGGATCACCGAAGCGCGCGCTAAATAAATCACGTTGTTGTACACCTCCAGTCGAGGTAAATTGGATTATTTAATCATTACCCATGTTGTATAATTATTCAAAACGGAATTATTTTTGCAACTTTTCAACCCGATAAACTGTAATATTTATTTATATTCACTTCTTAATCTTACATAATCAATCATTAATTACAAGCGCTGACATCCAAGTCGATATAATTTCTACAATTCTGATAATAAATCTGATAAATTTTGATTGAATTCAGAGACGATGATGAAAAAAGAGTGTATGAGGAGACATGCAATCAAAGCAAATTCCTGTTAAGTTAATGTCTGAAGTTTGAACAACCGTGGCTCTTAATCGACGACTACAGTATGGTTACTTGCTTGTTTATATGATAAAATTGACTATGATTACTAGTGATTGTACTGTCGATTACTTGCGATTTCCTTGTATAACTATTACATGGTAACAAGTCGCTTCCGATTGTTATTACACAGGTTTTGCAACCTTACGGGTACATGTGAGCTACAGTACACGTACAACTATATTCTATGATTACATATAGGACCGTCCACATGTACATGTGTAGCATGTAAGCTGTGACTTTTTAACTTTCTATCGAAATATGAAAATGCAAAGACTAAAAAGAGCGTTGCTTTTAATGATATCTGATATTTAAAGGGGCTGGTCGGGGAAAAATAGCATATTTGCTAAACTGGCATACACATGTTTAGAATACCTACTTATGAAATATACCTATTAAAATTTTGCTGAAATTCACTCCCTAAAAGTAAAAATTATAATTATATCAAAGAAATCCTAAATCGTCACCTGACAGTCTAAAACTCTCAATTGACCCAGATCAGTGATGTAATTTTACCGCAGGCGTCATCAACAAGGCCAAATGTAATCATCGCGGCGAAAGAAAAAGATGCATGCAAAAGTCATTGACAGGCACGAGGTATCAATACCGTTATATATAACAACAACATATAGGTAGGAATACTACACTTGCATCAATCATGACCATCATATTGCTGTGGTATAACTTTTGGAAGGCCAGAGAACGCATTTAGACCCATTTATCTGTATTTTTTTCCCCGACAAGCCCCTTTAATGATTCAGAATGAGATAATACTACTTTCAGAATGAGATAATTATAAGATTACAAGCTCAATGAGATTTTAGACCGTCATTACAATTAGGGGGAGACCTGGGCAAATTCGGCCCCTTTTATGTAAGTCTGTTCTGGGAAGTAGGGCAGTATGTCTGTTTTTGAAGAATTATCTAACTTTTCCTGTCAGAAGATCAGATGGCCGAACGAGCACCCCCATGGGGTATGTTCGGACAGGCATTCGGGTAAGTCATTGTCATAAAACATGCAACGTCAGATTTTCCCGCCAATTTTACAAATTTTTAAGTGTTGCATGGGCCGAACCTGTCCGGCTCAATTTGATATTTCAATAAATTCCTATAGTACAACAGTATGATAGTAAGAGTTTGGCTTGGCTATTATGTATATCATTTGAAGCCAAAAGGGGGTATTTTGGCTATATTGCTACAAACGACTTCTTCTGTAGAACTATGCACTGGATATCAATCATATTTAACCAAAAGCATTCATGGCAGGCAGGGATTCAAAATTGTACAAATGGTGTGGCTGATCCCCGTTTGGGCTGAGAGGCGTGGCCAAAAAGGGTTATTTAGCTATATTACTTTAATTGACTTCTTCTCTGGAACTAAGAGATAGATATCAACCATATTTGACTTGAAGCATCCCTAGGTTGTGGGGATTCAAAATTTTACAAATGGTGGGGCTGACCCCCCGGGCTAAGGGGTAGGGCCGAAAAAAAAATATTACTTGGAAATGGTTGAGATCCCCACCGCATAACCATACATAAAATTGTTGGGCATAAAAAATCAAATACAGACTCAGTCTTGTAAGCGTATTATAATTTGCTAAATTGGTCCCGGAGACTGACGCAATGTTCCGGATTTTGCTTGCGTGAATTAAGCAAGTTCATTTTTTTCTTTTGCGTAATTTGTGAATTATCGTGCGCGAATACGCATTCACGCAAGCTATCTGGAGCACTGACAGATATGCTACCAGCATTGGCCTTGGTGTCTGGCATATTCCCTTGGATCTCATTTGGAGAATATTTTGCCATGATTACTTAGATATCCAGGTGAGCGATACAGGCCCTCTGGGCCTCTTGTTTTATATTTCTTGTATTTTCTTGTAGTGTAGAGACAAATAAAGAAGCACGACGGACAAGCATAGACATAATTCATATCTGAAACAGGAGGCATGTAATTGTTTTGGTGTAGTTGCAAATTATTTACAAAAACAGTTTGCCTAGTACCGCTAAATCTTCATTCGCAACAGCAAATATTGTCTTGACTTGATATTTGCCAGTAGATTATATACATTATATGCTAAGATGATTTCTTAAAGTTATATAGTCATTATAACACACGAAGTCACTCTATATTATGCTTCTTTCTTTAGATATTGGTATAACTAATTTTGGTGAAGTGTACGGCGAATAGGAATGTTTTAAATAACTGGTGTACGGCGAATAGTTCATATAGTATACAGTATTTAAGTGAACACCTTGCCTAAATGTGATACATTTTGTTAAGGATCCCCGTCCCTCCGCCTAAAAATGTAATGAGGCATTGATTTTTTTTCTACGGCATCGCTATAGCATAACCAAATAATTTCTGAACAATTACCCATACCTTGCGTTAGTTTCGTCAGATTTTTTTGGGATATTTTTTAATATGAGATTTCTTTTTTTTTTCTTTTTTTTTTTCAATGGAACAAAATGAAACAAAAAACATAGCTAGTACAAATGCTCACTCTAAACATTGTTATGATTGTATAGCTATTTGCCGTACTGTTAACATACTAGCTGCCGTACACTTGAAAATGTATCAACAACTATTCGCCGTACACAGACGAAGAACCATTTAAGTCAATTACATCGTAATGACTACATTTAAACATATGACCATTATATGTTTATCCCGGTATCATCTACATATGCCAGTAACGTCCGTTTCATCATTGTATATGTCATACTTTAATAGTTTTCTCATCTTCTTTCTTTTTAAATGATTTTGTACCGGTGCTTTGTAGTCATTTCTTACCAATATCTTCAGATCGCATGAAATAGTTTACAAATCATCTGCATCACATACATCATTGTTTATTGTATAACTGTTGTGCTCCTTTACTTGTCTCTACGTACTAGAAAATACAAGAAATATCGGAAAACATCCTGTGGCTTTTCTGCGCCTAGCGTCCATGCCCGCTTCGGTACTAGCTATATCCGGTGTCAGTCCTACACAGTGATAATGAACAACATAAATCCTATCCAAACTTCAGCTTATATTTGTTTTTAGCAACGTACACTAATTCTCAAATAGATAAACAGTGACATAACATCTAAGATTTCAAAATGTCATGTATATGACATCCGTCATCTGTTTCCACCCTGGCAATACAGATATGTAGCAATGATCATACGAAACTGTCCACTGATGTGTGATCCCATTTTTATACGCTGGTCAAATTTGACGGGAGTATTATCGTCCGACCGGCATTGACCGTCTCCTCCTACATTTATTGACTGATCTCTTTGAAACTTGGTATACATTAAATTATAATCATGATATGAAGTTGTGTTTCCCTTAAAAGAATTATTTTGATTTGAATATCTTTGCAAATAGTTATTGACCTTTGTTTATTTCAGTATTTTATTTTTATCCACAATCTCCTCCTACATTTTTTCGACCGATTTCTTTGAAACTTGGAAATCGTTATAGTCATCATATATAGTTATGTTTCTTTGAACAAAAATTTGATTCGACTATTTTTGCAGAAGTTGTTGCCCTTTGTTTATTTCTAGTACTTGAATCTTGTCCGGAGATCTAGTTTTCTATCGATTTCTTCGAAACTTGGTAGGCTTCATAATCATGATATCAAGTTGTGTTAATATAATGAGTTGGAGACTAATCTTTTGATTACTTGTTTTCCTCAAACTTTTAGAAAATTAAAGAAAATCGGAAGTTGACTTTGTAGTGAAAGGTGAGATTTATAGCATGCTATATATAGCTAGCTAGCCACTCTTAAGGTGATGCAAATCTTATTTTAATGCAAGTTAATATATAACACTATATGACATTCGACTGGCGTATATTGTTCCGCCCTACGCTACTCTTGTTAGTTCACCTGGTCCGAAGGTAAATTTTGTCCTTTTCTTTTTCTTTGCCTTTATAGCAGCATTATACCAGACAAATTTTGCAAAAGGAAACGTCCTTGACCTTTATTCAAGGTCAAAGGGGTCAAATTTGTTAAAACACTCAAAAGATTTCTTCAATGTCATGTTGAATAGCTTTTTTACCCGCGTTTAAACAGAGTTATTGCCCTCTACACTTCATTCCATCTGTGACACCCCTTCAGGTGTCGCCCCACTAGTATGTTAAACATCTTTCAAAAACTTCTTCTTAATAACAAAAAGGCATTGGTTGATGATATTTAGCCATTAACATGCTGGGAAGCAGGGCTACCAAGTTTGATCACTCAAATGACCTTCATCTATTTTCAAGGCCGCAGGGGTCAAATATGTTTAAAACCTTTACACAACTTCTCCTGAATACCCAAGAGGCCTAGAACAATGATATTTGACCAGTATCATGCTCAGAGAAAGGGCTACTAAGTTTATTCAAACAAACAACCTTCATCCATTTTAAAGGTCACAGGGGTCAAATATGTTTGAAACCTTTAAACAACTTCTCCTGAATATCCAAGAGGCATAGGCTAATGATATTTGGCCAGTAACATACTCAGATGAAGGGCTACCAAGTTTATTCAAATGAATAACCTTCATCTATGTTCAAGGTCACAGGGGTCAAATATGTTTAAAACCTTGAAACAACTTCTTCTCAATAACGAAAAGGCCTTGGATGATGATATTTGACAAGTAACATGCTTGGATGAAGGGCTACCAAGTTTGTTCAAATGAATGGCCTTTGCTCATATTCAAGGTCACAGGGATCAAATATTTTTTAATCTTTAAATGACTTGTTTTGAAAGTATGCCGGGACGGAAGGTTATAAACTTTCAAGGTCAAAGGCGTCGAATGTTTAAATCATTTAATAGATTCAAATGGATCGAACACATATTTTGCCTGTAGCTGTATATTAGTCTACTTTTAAGATTACAAGTGTGAGATTAATACCAGGTGAGCGATTCAGGCCCATTGGGCCTCTTGTTTGGTTTTTTCCATAAAAAAGTAATGTTCATCTGGTTTCTGAGTTTCCCCCAGATGTTACGTGCCTGATACTTATGAGTGAATTCAATAGATATTAATTATGTGTAGTGGTACGTATCGCTTTCCTTTTGCGGTCGGATATGAATAATAGCCTCCATGGCTTCTGATCTGCTGAGACATACCCGGCTATAGAATGTTTTCCCTTGTTGATGGTAATGGAAGTTTCTGAGAGAGAAACTTACGTTGATACTTACCAATTTTGTTTAAAAAAAACCCACATAAAGCTCACTTTTTTCAGCAAAATGCCAGCTGTAGCCAGGCATCGAATTGGTCAAAGGTTAGATTTCGGCCTATTTCGAACACATTTGGTTTGTTCCTAAATCTTCCATGAGTCTGTAAAACATCCATACTGTCGTTCACTGGCTTCTGATCATGATCGATCGTAATTGAAAATCAGTGTAATATTTCTATCCGTAGCTGTATAATGGAACTGAAAACATTTACTCAACACCCGTTAAATCTTTGAACAATGGATTTTGATTGGTCGAATTTTTAATAGTGTGCGGATTTCGCAAAGTTGTAATATTGGAGTATCGCTATTTTTCTACTGCAACATTTGCGACTAGGTCCTACATTGGGGAAATATCTTGAAGTTACGATACGGTAATCGTTATAATTAGAACTGCTTTTTTTCCTTCTTTGTTTTAACCGTGTTTGTTAAGATTGTTCAATATAATATAATGTATTTTCTGGTAGACAGAGAGCAGACGATAAGAAACATAGACTACCAAAGGAAACATTATGTCTTACCGTTCGTTTGGTGTCTCCAAAGCTTTGTTCGTTATCAACAAAAATCAGGTTTATTCCTGATGTTGTGATGCTATGTCATACTTTTCTTAAATTTCGCTCCACTGAAATCCTAAATTTATAGGTTCCTGGTTCATTGTGTCTTTTTATTGCTGACAAGAAAAATATTTTTTGAAGTCGTTTTTGTGTTTTGAAATTTTGTTTGACAAAATTGTTATTATGATCGGTTTTTTCTGAATGACTTTCGTCCAATTTGGCCGGTAATAGTATTCTGATGTAAATTATTATCCTTTTTGATTGCAATTAACCAGATGAAGAGATGGACTACAGTTGTTTGCACCGTTATTCATCCGGGGAGCTGCGTGCGATTGACAAAGCAAGGATAAGCCTGATCGAGAAATACAAGCACAGATTCCGATTAGAACTGAATGCTCCCCAAGCTGACGTTATGGTAGTATACAGTGAGAATGACCGTGATGCTGCTGAAGGATTCCGACAAAGTATAGACGGCCGCGTTCTTAGTCTTGTAAACAGGAAGCAAGCAAAGGTAAAGACAATGCTATATGACAAGGAAGGATTGGGGGAAACCAAATTGAACGCTTTGGAAGCAGCTTATAGCAACAGTACGTATGCTTTTCTGTATTTGACGAAATCCTTTGTTGAAAATGACTATACTGCATTAGTTGCACAGTCATTACTTATGGAGTCCATTAACAGCAAGGACAAAAAATGGCGGGTGGTACCATTTCATACATCACCGCTTAAAAATGGACAATACAAAGTACCCTTGGGTATCAACACCTTGAAGAGCCTGAATGCTTGGAACCAGGATAGATTCTACTGGGGAATGATGGATGATCTTCTAAGTGGCACAATTCACGAGCGAGAAGATAGAGAAATTAAAATGTTTGATAGGAAATACGAAGAAGCCCTTAGTATCCAAAATGAAGACAAAAAACATGAAGACTCCATAGGTAAACTTGAGAAGGTATGTACCACTATTGTCCTAACCTAAGTTGTTATTGTACCTCAACTTTGTATCAAATTGTTCATTTATTTTTGCCTTCTTCCTAGATCTGGTGTATTTATTCAAATATTACTACACTATTTTGATGTGTGCTATCATGTATTTAACATGTTAAAGATTCGTCTTACTGGTTTCAGCAATAGTTTCCACTATTGGAAAGATGATATGTGTCTACACAATAATACTGTGGCAATTGTAGTTTCTATATAGTTTACCTCGAAAGGAAGTTTATGCAGAATACACCTTAATTTCCCTCTTAAAGATTGTTTGATTCTTATACGTCGAAAGACGAAACTTCCCGTATTATATTATTATGAGAACGGTGTCTGCTCGATATCTCAAGTAATTTTCAACAGATAACATCAAACGTCATAGGTAGGTTTATACTGTGAGAGCTCGGACAAATTCGTTAACAACCATTGTCTGACTCTTATTTACTTATTTATGCCCCTTTTACAATATATCAATGGCTGAAAAAGTGTCCGCTCGATATCTCGAGTAAGTTTCAATCGAATAACTAACTTAAAGTTTAATTATCGTGAGAGCTCAGACGAGACGAGTTTGATAACCATTGCTCAACTGTAAATTATGGCGTTATGATCCTTTATTCAATAGCTAAAACAGTGTCCGCTCTATACCACGAGTAATTTCAACGGAATGACTTCAAACTTCATGGGAAGGTTTATTTCCATAAAAGCTTAGACGAGTCCGATAGCCACCATTATCCTACCCTCATGTATGGAGCTATATCCCTTTATTCACTGGCTGAAAAGGTGTCCGCTCGATATCTTATTGTTTTCAATGGATTCATTTCAAACTTCCTTTGAAGATTAGTTACCTTGAGAGCTTCGATCTTTTCTATAAATACCATTATATGACTAATTTAGGGAATAATACCCCTTTATAATGTCACCTGAGACAAAGTCCCAAGTGACCTATTGCGATCGCTTTTTGTCGGCCTTCGTCCGTCGTGCGTCCGTAAACAATTTACATTTTCGACTTCTTCTCCAAAACCCCTGAACTAATTTCAATGAAATTTTGCAGAAACCTTCCATGGCCAAAGGTTAACAAAATGAGTTGCCGGTTTGGTCCCCAGCCCCCAGGGACCTGAGGGGCGGGGCCAAAAAGGGTCGAATTGACTGAAATTTCACAAATCTTCTCCTCAAGACCCAGATAGGGTAGAATCAAATACTCTTCAAAGATGGAAGGGTCTGAAGGTGCTTTACCAAAATTGTGAATTTCATGACCCTTGGGTCTCACGTTTCCCCCCGGGGAGGGGGTAAACATTACTATAGTTTATATAGGAAATCACATTTTGGACTAACATTTGTTTAATTTCCATTGGAAATAATTCAATTTGGGTTAGCATTATTAGTATTGATAGCAGTTTGAAGGTATGCACATATGAGCCCTGACTGACCCCCCGAGGCTGGTGGGTGGGGCCAAAAAGGGTTAAATTGACTGAAATTTCAAAAATCTTCTTCTCAAAGACCCAGATAGATATTTATTATGGTTTATAATGGCGAATGATATTTTGAATATTACATGTTAATAACTTGATTGGAACTATAACCCTGAGTTGACAGTTTGATACTTTGAAAATTTTGAGCCAGCCCTACCCCAAGGGCTGTAGGGTGGGGCCCAAAGGAGTCCGTGTGCTAACATTTCTTCATTTTCCTTGTTTAGAATCGGAGGTGTTAGTTTCAAACACTTTTTAGTCTTAAATCTGTATGCTAGATATTGAATAAGGTGGTGTTTTTTTTTGTCACGTTGAATAATATTTCTGTTCATGTTAAAAACCAAATCAACTCTCTGTATAAATATATCAGGTGACCGCTAAGGCCCATGTGCCTCTTGTCTAATTGGCGATTGGTGTCCACTCAATATCTCGAGTTATTTTCAGCGAATTCACTTCAAACTTATTGGTAGGTTAATTCCTTAAGAGCTCGGAAAAGCTAGATATCCGACTGTATTCTATGCAGTTATACCCCCAAAATCAGTGGAGTGAGTGTCATTAATCTACCGGGTATGTGGAAATATTTCTCCTTTAACATCAATAACTTACAAATATTTCACATATTGCAACGACACAAATAACTGCTCACTCAACTTGTGACAGGCGTATTATGTACGTACTGCTTCGCGGTAACCTTGTTTTCATAAAGAACATATTTATTTCGTAATTAGAAATATCTTTGATGTTAATCTTCCTGAAATAATTTAATACTTCACATTGCGGTTATTTCTAATTTAAGTAAATAAAACGAAATGTTGAGAATTTGATATTTTCTCACTATGTAAAAACACTGTTAATATTCGCCATCCCGAACCTTCTGTTGTCTGGTCTCCATGGCTACAAGTTAAAATGATTTTTTTTTGGTTGTCTAACCAAAACAAAATGGGGGTGATAATTTTCTCCCGTCCTATTATTTCAGTCACAACTCCACCGGCAGTAGTCTGCCATGTTTGTAAACATAAAACACATGTGGGGTATAGATATCGTCATTCACTTTTGATGACGCCACACTTACCGGTGAGACATTGTAATGACGTCATAATTGAACACATGCTAATCGGCACGAGCCTATTCTCCCTAGAAAGTGACAAGTATCTTTCCCTGCTAAAATGGGAGGCACACCTGTGAAGGGTGGGAAAACATTAAATTCATCCACACCAGCAATAATGCCTTATACATGGATATCACTGAAGGGGAAATGGATATATGGTTTATATAAAGGCCCTACTGATGTTACACAATTTTTGAGGCTGTGGATGGTATGGTAATATTCATTGTTTGTTGTTTATTATCTTCTTAGTTGGATAAAGGTATCTAAGCTTTCGAAGACGTTCAACTATTACTATCAGATAAGTTATTGACATATTTAAAAGTAAACTGCCGTGTAATATCTATATTTGTTACATGATTACAGACTTTAAGTAGACATTTCTGATTTTTTTAGCTCTCCTTGAACCGCACACAGCCGCAGCAGGATCGACCTAGTAAGTGTAACTAGTAACTAGTTCTAATGTTTAGAAACGAAGAGATTTGATGGATCCTAATCCATGATCGTATGAGTCGACAGGTGTTTAGTCTTCTGCAGACTCGGGGTTTACTTACCAAATTTATCCATTCCAAGTAAATAGGTGCTATTGCGTTTCATGACACTTTTTTTATTCTTAAAAGTGAAAATGAATTGATTTATTGCAAATCTGCCAAGCCCGTTTAGCTCTTAAAGCACAGGATAACATCTGGTGTCAGGATAATTATTGCTTTTAAACATTTTTACACAATAGAAGAACCGCTAGGCGGTATTAAATGCTATCAAAATGTTTGAATAACATTGATCTCATAATCTGGATACTCACTTTTAACTGAATCAGTGTTGAGTTTGATTTGGTAGGCAATACACATATACAATAACTTATTATTACAGGGAGCGTTGTGCAACCAATGCCAAAGCCCGACGATTCCGTGTCTGCGTCATGCGACTCGTGCCATGGTAAGGACTTTTGCTAGTTTCACAAATAAAACGATAGTAGAAAAATACAACTCTAATAACATTCATTATATGTTAATATCGTTTATAATTAATGTATTGAATAGCATTTACGCCTATAATTTGTTATTTTTATTTGTTCATACTGCCATGATAATTATTTAGCTTAGATGGTCCAAAGGGCCCAGTGCATCCGGCGTCAACTTTTTTTAAACAATTTTTTAAATAACCATGAGACGCCGAAGGTGATGGTAGTTTGCCTTTACACATCTTCTTCAGAATAACTGAAAGGGCTGGGTTGATGATATATTAAAATGCTAGGATGAATGGCTATCAAGGTTGTTCAAATGACTGACCTTGACTCATATTTAAAGTCACAAGGGGTCAAATACGTTTTTAAACGCGATCAAAATGGTTGGACCATTTTGTGAATTCGTTATTAAATATGAACGGGCCTAGTGATTAAATGTTGTTTTTGGCTAGTATAGATCTTGGCAAATCTTTCCAGGTCTGCATTTGTATTTGTAAGTCCGTCAAGTTTTACTTCTGAAGTGTTACATGTCAAACCGAACTATCCCGCTGTCTCTGATCTCGTAGTTTACAATGCGGAAATGAAAGTGCGCAAGTCTAAAACAAATCACTGTAATGGAGCGTACGCATAGTTGATTCTGTAAATGAAAACACACAAACAAAAATTTGTCGTACATGTGACACATTGATTCATTAAAGCCAAATATGACACCTGACACCTCCTCAACTCGATGTAATCAACAGCAATTATCGTTTTGTTCTTAAATCTCTCGATCGACTTTCAAAACCATACTGGCTCCTATAAAAACATGAACCCGTAAAGCTGTCCTAGGTTGTGATTTTAACTGTGGAACTCTTTTATGCATGACCACGCTTTGTGACCAATTTTCCGGTTTGCACTGTCGTCTGTTTAGGTGTACAAATCATTAAACGGACTCGCAGTAAGTACAGATTACTGTTGATCAACATTGATGCAGTTTGTTTTTTATTATGAATAACATGGTTTTGACAGTCCGTAAACTTTACAGTCCTAAGCTTTATCGTAAATTCTTTTTTACTGATTTCATGCTAGTCTACTTACGAAAGATGTTCATAAACACGGAATGGCGAAATGTCGTACTTTTGCGTTTTATTTGTATCAAAGAATTAACAAGTGACAAAATGAAATTTGGATACTACGTTGGATTAACGCTATTGAAACCAATATTTTACTTCGAGGTATCCGAGTTTTTCGACTTTTCAGGGTTCGAATTATCAGAGTTTTATTTACTAAGATAAAGAACAGATTTGGCCGGGACCGGAGAAATACTTCGAGATAAACGGGGTCTTCGAGTTAAAAGAGTTCGAGATAACGAGGTTCGACTGTATGTTAAAAATTCAACGACTTCATCTGAATGACTTAACAGTCTAGGCTGATAATATATGGCCGGTAGCATGCTGGGATCAAGGGTTACCAATTTTGTTCAATTGGATGACATTCACCCATATTCAAGGTCGCAGGTTTCACTTATCTTAAAAAAACACCTTTGAAGACTTCTTTTGAATTACCAAAAGGCACAGGATGATGGTGTTTGGCTAGAAACATGCTAAGTGGAAGTTTGTCATATTTTATTAAATTGATAACCTTCATCCATATTCAAGGTCACAGACGTCAAATATATATCGATTACTTTGAACAATTTTCCTGAATAACAAAAAGTAACAGGGTGATGATATTTGATAAGTAATATGCTAAGGTCAAGTTGTTGACTTTGAACCGCTTTCAAAGTTTGATCAACTTGTCAGTCTTACTTCAAGGTCATCGGGGTCAAATGTGTTTACATCTTTTAACAGGGGCTTCTGTATGACTTGGAGTCACCTGTAATGATATATGGCCTGTGGCTTAATATAAGTCTACTTTTAAATCTACAAATACGAGATTAGTACCAAGTGAGCAATATAGGCCCATTTGGTCGTTTTTTACCTGTTTACATATGTTTAGGAAAATCAGTATAAAAATAAGAGAACTGCACCGGCATACATGCTAGCTTCTCACTGTGGCTGCTGCTCAATGTTGGAAAGAGTTCTCAATGATAAAATTCATATTATTATGAGTAACATTTCGCCTTATATTCATACCTGCTTGGTTTTGTAATTAGCTCACCTGGCCCGAGTGAGTTTATGGCATAGTGCCGTGTCCAAGTCCTATCAAGTTTCAAATAAATGAACTTGAATCATATTCAAGGTCACAGGGGTCAAATATGTTTAAAACATTTAGACTACTTCTTCTGAATAACCAATAGGCCTAAGTAATGATATTTGGCCAGTAACATTCTGGGATGAAGGGCTACCAAATTTGTTCAAATAAATTACCTTGACTTATATTCAAGGTCACACGGGTCAAATATGTTAAAATATTTAAACAACTTCTTATGATTAACCGAGAGGCCTAGGGTGATGATATTTGGCCAGTAACATGCCGGGATGAAGGGCTACCAAGTTTATTCATTAAATGAACTTGACGTATATTCAAGGTCACAGGGATCAATTATGTTTAAAACATTTAAACAACTACTTCTAAATAACCAAGAGGCCTAGGGTGATGGTATTTGGCCAGTAACATGCTGGTATGAAGGACTACTAAGTTTGTTCAAATGAATGAACTTGACATATATTCAAGGTCACAGGGGTCAAATCTGTTTAAAACCTTTGAATGACTTCTTCTTAATAAGCAAAAGGCCAAGGGTGATTATATTTAATCTTTAAATGATTTGTTTTGTTTAACATAAAGGTCCAGGGTAATGATATTGTGCTAGAAGCATGCTGGGTTGGAAGACTATAAACTCTTTTCAACCTAATGTCCATTCAAGGTCACGGGCGTCATATGTTTAAAACTTTTAATATGTTCTTGTGAATCAAACACTGATGTTCTGCCTTTAGCTGTATTTTAGTCCACATTTAAGATTACAAGTGTGAGATTAATACCAGGTGAGCGATTCAGGCCCATTGGGCTTCTTGTTTCATTTACAATAGATATGCTTTTTAGAAATGTGACTTTTCTTATGAAATTTTGACACACTTGAGTCGATCAATTTGCAAAAACTAACTTTAAAACGTTTTATTTGTGTTGCAGTAACTGACGAGGAGGATTAATATTTCTTACGATACCGACATTCCGGGAAACACGCTAGAGGCATTCGTTTCGGTATGGATAAGGAATACATTTCTTTTTTGGACTATTGCATTAAAGTAATGAACGCAGTTTTTATGGTAGCTGACCTTCACAGTTCGACCATGTATACCAAAATTAAAGGTAACAGTGAAATGATCACAAGATTGGGTTTCCAAAGCTGTTGATAAAGTTTTCGGGATTATGGTGTTTTGGATGTGAATTTGCCTAGTGAATGACGTGGTAACTGTAAGATAAATGATTTTAGTGGCCGTTCTGGATTCATGTGTTTTATAGACGGTTCAGATGTGGTTAGATATTTTATGTACATTCTGTGACGAGGCTAAGTTAAACACGACGCGTGATGATGTAACCAACAAATATGACGTGTGATGACGTAACCAACTGTTTCATTCATTCAAGCAGCTCTGGTTGGTATTTGCTACCTACTTCATGATAAGTGTTATAATGTCGCTGCAAAAAAACATATAAATACGTGATTTATTTCATTATGACAAGTGAGTACTTTGAATTAAATTGTACCAAAGTAATGTTTTGTCAGTAAATATTTATGATTTTATTCTTGCTCCATGCAGCACCCTTCCATTCGTCCTGGGCCAGAACTTCGCCCAGCCCAGGTGTTATACCTTGTTATTTCGTGTAGAGGAGATCTCGGAGTAAACAAGGGCACGACAATGAGAAGAAAGTAGAGCGATATCATTCATTAATTCTCACATACTGTCACTCACTTCTTTCTTTCATAAAATCATCCTTTCATTCCGTATTTTTTGTTTACTTGTTTTGTTACCCCGTGTAATATAATTTTTTGTTTCGGAGTATTTGTGACGTTGACTTGTAACGTTTTACACTAGCTTATGTGGTAAGATCTGTTGATTGAGTATCAAATTATGGTTTGTATCATATTTATGGTGTTTGCTGTTACTATAAGTTCAAACCTCCTACTTTAGTTACTTACATACATGTAGCAATTTCTGTTTTCGAGAAAGGTTTTCAGGAACCACAATCAATAAAATAGGTTTTTAAATCCACACATTTTCCAAATAGTTTACAAGCAAGATTACCTGTTATTTTCCACTTTTAAAGTTGTAGTTGAGCAGAAATTATTGGGGCAATAATGTTGTACATGAATTTAACAATTATTTTATCTTATGTTTGTTTAATTAAAAATCATCCCATGTTGATTTTGTTATTGGTTAGTTGACTATCTAATTCCATGATTCATATATTTTTGCTATATCAATATATCAAATGCAGCTTTACTGTAAAACTTGTTAAAAAGAATTGTTGTATTAGAGGTTTTATTTAAAACTTCAAATTGTGTTACATTGTGTAATGTTGGGAGATATCAGACTAAAATGATGTTTATCCAATCTCTTTGCTTAACGTTTTAACTAGTGATGATTCTGTCTTTTTTAGTCACCCCTGGGGGAACCCCAGCGGGGACTATTATTTTGGTTTCAGTCCCAGATTTTGACCTCTGTTGCCGACCACTGTTTTCGGCTTTCGTGTGTTTGCTTCTGTCGCTAATTACAAGCTTTTGGATAACTCAGATATCGATTTAGGAATAGATCTAACATACAACCAAAAGGCGTTCCGAATTTTAAACTGAAGATGTTCCGAATATGAATCGGTCACCTTTGAGGTTCCCGAAGGGGTAGACTGTTATATTATATATTGCTATTGATTGATTGAGTTTTTTATGTCTGACCAACGACTATATTGGTAAAATTTCTTTTTAAAACAATATAAATTTTGTAATAAAAAGTTAAGGTAGAAAAGCTCAATAACGTCTCTTTTTCTTTATCATCTATTCACGCAGAAAACGTCACCTAGCAAAAGGGCAAATGTGATTTGATATGCCGGGTTTGTGCTTGCCGCCGGCACACTACATTCAAGCATACGCGCAATTTGGCGGACACAAATAACATTTTGTATCGCTTTGCAATTCTCTGCAGTCCGGCGAAACTTCTAATCGAATAGCAGGTGCCGAACATGCGGGACTTTAGGGAAATACGTAATCAGTAGGTAGGTGCCGGCTTCCCGGCGGTAACCGGCATGCCTGAATCAAGTTCGTCCAAAGTAAAAAGTTTACGACATTTATGGAAATTGCTTTATTTTTTTAATTAACATTCCATTTTCAGCCGTCACATTATAATTTCAAAGGGTGATATGTTATAAATAAATGCGCCATCATTCAAACAAATATTTCATCAACATTCATATCCCGCATGAAAAAGTTTACAACTTTGGAACACTTTACGACATAACACTAGTGTTACGGCAGAACTCGAAATGGAAAACCGGAGTGCGGGGTCATGTAAGGTAAGTAGTTCATTGCCATATTGAGAATTTATAATAAAAGCGCTCGACACCGTTGAATGAAATTGATCGTTTCTGCGGTGTAGTGGCAGTACTAGTGGTGACCACGAGGTACCGACAAAACAATACCATGTTTTGCCGGTACAGTTCCACGTGGTCACCATGTGGCGATACTGTACCGGCAAAACACGGCATTGTCATATTTATGTATATCGCTATTGCCAATAATATTCCTGTCAGTGTCCTGTCAAAACGTAAGGACAAATGTGTTTAACAGCACTGTTGTGCATGTATATATTTCATTTCTATGAAATCAACCAACAAAGATCCAGTCTAATTTAGGGATGTAAACAAAATTGAGAGTATTGCGGTATTTGCAGCTCTTTCTGCAAATCATGGCTCCTTTCATAATATTTCCTAAGATCACTGATCGTTCTATCTGTAACAAAACATTTCTTTTTAGTTTCTCCACTTCCCCCTGCAGGTTGAAGGTACCGTAGATGTAACAATACAGGTTGAGCACATGGACTTATATAGACTTATATGATACATATTAGCTAGAAATACGTATATATATAGGTATTTCTAGCTAATGTTATCATATAAGTCTATACAAGCCCCTGTGGGTTGGGCTTACCAGAATATATTGCAATACAGAAGGAAAATATTGCGATAGTGTCGCAATATAATTTCATAGTATTTTTTTCTGATAATTTGGCTTAATGGGTGTCAAAATGCTGTCATTAAATCTGAGATCATTTGTGCGATACATTTGTATTGAATTGTATGCTAGAAATAGCCTGGATTATGGATATTAGCATATCTATTTGACCGTTAGAACATGTTGCGATTCAGCAATATTTTATTATCGGCTTCGCATTGTGATAGATACATGTACGATATGGCCTGTGTATTGCGATATACTGGTTTTCCGATACATTGTTACACCCCTATAGTCTATACATGCTTTAATAAACCATGATCACACTAAATATCCCAATTAAGCATTGCAAGATAGCTGATATTTTATCATTTCCAGAATACACAAACTAAAATGGAAGGAAGTACTTCAACAGCTGCAGCAATACACTGTAAGTCATTACAATAAGTTGGTTTAATTTCTAAACTTCATGTCAGTGGACTTGTTTCATGTATGGATTCATTTTGAGCAAGATAAAAAGTGTGTTAAGCAAAACTGCATATGTATGCGTGTTTTTTAATCGGTGATTAATTCTTATGTTTTCCGGACGAACTTCCGGTAATGTTTGTGTCAGTTTACAGACGATGACCAAATGTCTAAAATATCTTTGTGTTGTGTCCAGCAGGTCACGTAGTAACGAGATATTGCTTGATAAAATGGCTGCGTGGAAATATATAACGCGCGGAAACCAATGATATTGACAGTTTTACCAACAAATTGTTTTTACTGAGAATTATCAACTGATACTATGGAGTTAAATAACCACCAATACAATACCAGTACAAACTAGTGATAGGGATTGGAAATTCCTTAATTATCAGCCTTTAGTTTTGGTGAAAATGATTTGCTCCAATATGCATGTTCAGTTCTTTTATATCTTTTTTTTCATTTTAACAGATGAAATATCTCATCCTGGCACTTTGGCATGTTTGAATGTGGAAGGCCTTGAAATTGGGATGCAGAGGCCGGGGAAAGTCACAGAAATAAAAAAAAAATGAAATTATTTGCATTGTTTGTGTTTTATGGTCATAAAATATGGAACCTTTTCTTCAAGTAAATCAACCACATGCTTTCTTATTATATCCTAGTAGGTTGGCATGGTTACCTAAACAGCGTGTATGCATTCCTGGTCATTGTTAGACCATTTTGATTGACAGGTGGAAATATGTCAGTTGTACTTGGTCAATGATTTATTATACTGAAAATAATCATACAGGAGATGGGGTGACTTTCATGTCATTTTGACATATTTCTAGTTTTTTAAGTGTGTTTGAATCTTTCTTTGAGAGAAGGAACCAGTCTTAAAAACATCATCGATTAAACGTATATCCGACTTTATCCATTTAGTTTAAACGAATGCTTTTTTGTGTACCTTGGTGTTTTCCTTCCCCTTTATTTGCTTTCTGATTTCAATTTGGCAATTTTTTTTCTAATTTTCTTGTTTGAACCTCTTTCGTAGTAATCCAAGCAAATATTACTTCCTGATAAAAAAAACTCTAAATTAAGTATACAAAAGTCTTTTCCATATTTACTAGTTTTCCAGTAAGCTAGGGTTCATTATTTTAGTGACAGAAACCATTTTATTAGTATGTTTCTCTGTCCGAAAAGATTTCCCCTCCTCATATTAGATTTCACTTGGGAGTTTTACTTACAATTATTTACAATTTTCTCTTATTCTCTTCCTGTTTGTTTTTGCCTTATTTAGGTACGCAAAAATTTGCTGTTATTATACAGTACATTTTTTTTTTTTTTTTTATATTTATTAATGTTTCTATCGATAGTCGATACATGCTTGTTCGCTTCCCTTCCGCATAGTAAGACAATTTTTACACTTGATTTTTTCACTCAAATATACCTGGTCACATCCATGTTTGCTCTTACCAAATTATACACCTAGAGACTTCGTCAATACTTCAGGCTAGATGATTTCACATCTATTTTGTGTACATATTTTGTTTAATCCAGAGACAATCAGTTTTCCGTATAGGCACGGTAGTTTAGTGGTTGGATGCCGGGCCTGTGACCGAAGGGTTGCGGGATCGAGTCATGGCACGCCACTGTGTTGTATCTTTGAGCAAATTACTTTACTTTGCTTGTTCCAGTCTACTAAGCTGTAAATGAGTATGTGGTTGGGCAGTGTTAGCATTGTAGAATGCTAGCTGTTAGTGCCGAAATGGCAGCTCCGGTGGTATGCTCCCCAGTGAGTTGAGAAAGATATTGGCTTGTTGCAAGGGGCCCTATAACCACGGATAATAATTTGTGAACCGCTTTGAGACGACCTACGAACTAGGTTGTATTAAAGCGGTATATAAGAACCTCGAATTATTATTATTATTATTAGTTTTGTTCTTATTCAATATTAAACCCGATACTTCCCTTTGTAAAGCTATATCTGAATAGCTATTGGCATGTGTTGTGATGAGGCTTTATTTAGTTTGAAATATCTAAAATCCATATAGAGCTATTATAACACATACCATTTTTTTCATCCGTATAAAAGAGGTTATTAAAGGAATTTGGCCACGAGTTTTCATAATTTCATTATTTACGTTCATGTGATGTCTGTTTTGAAATAGGTGGGGGTAGTACTAGTTATTTAGGAAAAAGATAGACTAATTCTATCAAAGAGAAAGCGTTATGGCTAAGAGTTCAAGAGAGACACTTTATGATGGCATGTTTTTACTATTTTGATGTTGGAAGACAAGTATAAGCTGCTTTCTTCATTTCGTTAATTGATGTTTGTAATTTACCGGACCACAACATTACACCGGAAAAGCCGGATTGGAAGTAATAGACGAATAGATTCCGGAAAAGATATTATAGGATTACACGTTAATGATTAAATACAATCATGTTATTATCTTGATTGTGTAACAGGGATACATATATTTATTGTATGTAAGACTTTAAATTTATTTTAATATTATGAAAGGTCTTGGTGTAAGGAACCTTAAATGGTTGTTTGGTAGTACAGTTGTGTGATGAAAGAATGTGGTGCGAGGACCCTTAATGTTTGTGTGTTATCTGTATGTAAGAATGTGTGGAATGTGAGTACTTTTAGTCACGAGACATCAACGGACATTTTTATTGGTCATAGCTAACAACTGCATAATTTTTAACTTGACTAATATCACTCAGCACCAAGGCGTTGAAGGATATATAACAACATTTAGATATTGGAAGTGTTTAAATTTGATATTTGAAGAATTAGAGAACTGGGTGAGTTTTTAACCATGTATGTTCCATTATTATTATTTATATGTATATTCTGTAAGGTATTATCATAATATTAGTATAGAATTGTTCCCTTATATAGCACTACTTGTATTCTTTTCATGTACACATGTATCGTACTTTTATGAGTCGAATTTCTCGCTGTTTCGAAGTAAAATCAAGGATCATTCGTTATAAAAAACATTGAAAATTACAACTAATAAATCGATGTGAAATGTTAACTTATTCAAAA